CACCCAATCCCACATCCACACCCACACCCAATCCCACACCCACACCCTGTTTCGTACGGGTTAATGTATGGGCACATACAGAATATTTTGGCGGAGTCGATAGTTCCCTCGCACAGTTTAATCAATAAAAGATAGTCTGGATCCATTAGATTAGAACAGAGCTACAAATAGATCTGAGCTTTATCCATTAATCGAAATTATTGATTCAAGAAGCCTGGAACTCTTGACACATCTATTGTTGAGTATCTATGGAGACTGTCTTTCAATGCTTTAGGCTAATAATTAGCACATTTTTTAGAAGTCATAAAACAGCATCATTGATATAACAAAACCTGAAACCTATTTGAAGCCCAAACATACTTGCAATGAAGTAGTTTCTGAGTTGTTTCCACGAATATTTCTGGAAATGTGATGTTTTTTTTCGATAGAAACGCCACAATCGCTAGCGTATGGATGCGAACATAATTCACACTAGCCGAAGAAGTGAAAGGATCATGTTACTTATTGTCGTATTCTACACCCACATTTGTCGTCGTTTATCACCTATTGTCGAGCTTTTCTCGTTTCCCTAACGGATGTCGCTATTTCCGAATGATTTCTTGTGCCAAAATCGGTTCAACTAGTGTTTTATATCAATAAAAAAATGAACAAAGTCCGTTCTGTCATTACACCCTCGCAGTGATCAAAACAATAGACAGTCAGAAGAGATTCATATTGAAGGATTATGATATCGAAGCATCCGTTGCTTGTATTGTAACTATGTTTATTATTGTCGCAATAATTTGTTGTTCTGCTTTGAATAACTCACCTTATGCAACATTCTGCAACAAAAGCATGTTTACTGTTGAAAGTACAAGTATTTGTAATAGTTGTTTCTTTCGTTCGTCGACGAGTATTGGGCTTGGTTAAAAGCATATTATGATCAAATAACTTTCAGGCTCATCATTCAACATCTGAGAATTGTTTCTGCACTGGTATTATTTGGTGGCTGTTGGGATTCAATATGACATACCATGAAAAACTGCTTATCTTCAAGGTGAACTTCACTTGAACTCACGTGTTTCGGCTCTTTTTTTGCTGCAGATCAGGACGCAACTTCATCATTTGTTATCGCACTCGTCTCAAATGAGTTCTAGACATATTTCATAGAAAAGACACTTATGTGGACCAAATGAATACCAACATTACTTTAGGTGTCGCCGTACTTGCGTGATGTTGAAAATTCATCTTTACCATTTTCTTGCTATATTGTTCATCGCTTTTTTCGTTGTTGAGTGTTCAGTGTACAATAAAGTTCGTAACAATCTCAACACATACTTTGAAGTATCTGCTTTTCTCGACGATTATTCACTAACAAAACAAATTTGTCTACTAATGATTGGTCATGTCATATGAGGATAAATAGAGTATATCTTGGCTTTTTCCATATTCCTATACTTGAACTTTAAGGGTCTTTTTAATCCAATGTGAATATTTTTCTCGAATATTTTTAGTACGAATTTGTTTAACTCATCAAACTCTACAAAGATCAGACATTTGGATCGATTTCGAAATGATCATTTAGAACCTGATATGTTCCCCATGGAATTACTTGTTGCTATCTGACTTCTGCGAAATTCGAAGCACTCGAGTGCTGCAATGAAAGGATAGGTGATTTCGCTGTGTATCACTAGATATCCTATCGAAAATCATGTATCGGAAAGCATTCTTAGATTGAACCAAGTGAAGTCCATTCGAACTTTGAAGAAATAGTTTCTTGAATATCAGATCACATATTTGACATTGAATCTCTTAGAACCATACTGGAACCGACACTCAAACAGTCTGTAACTGAACTTCGATCAGCGGTTTGATCCGTACCAAAACGTTTACACGACATATATCTCTCCTATGGATGACAGATTGATGTAAATTTTTGAAGTTTGATGCTGATGCTTACAATGCCCAATCAAAAGCTCTGTTCAATTGCCATTCATTTTCGATAAGGAACATCACGAGCTTCACTGGAATTGAGATAAAGAATGGAGTATGATTCTATCCAAAGCTCTTTCTCGACAGCTGAACCAAGAGGACCTTCTGATCTCAATCTAGGAAAAGCACTCTGTGTAAACTATGATCTCTTCACTGTGTTTCTTTTCTCGTAATTTTGTACTCTTATGATAGATTTGCAAGCAAACAAAGCGTGTGAAGTAAAATATTCTATGATAATGACAGTTATTGATAGTGTTCGTCAAGATAGTCTTGAGATAGACGTAAGATCAGCTATAAATGGACTTCTGATATTGTTAACAGCTCCTGTCGGATGCTAGACCATTTAGATGATTCTACGAACACCTTCTTATGGTTTTGTGACATTCTTCATTTACAGAACAGTGACACATACGATTACTGTCGTACTGACGTTGACTGCGATTGATGCTAGAAGAATGACGATCACTGTGATGATGATTGGGTGAAAATGATTGAAGTTTACAAGGAGAATATAATATCGATAAGTTCAGTAATCTTTATTGATTCTTTATTTGTGAACAAAGTGAGCAATAAGATCTATGAAGGAAGCATCTCCTTACCCTTCGCAGAAAATGAGACATAAAGTGAATTATCGATGAAAACAAAATCGTATTTTGTGAAACTCAACGAGTTAAATTTTTTCAGAAATAAGAACTCGAGAATAATCTGATCTATTTACGAGGAGCCATGATTATCACATTGATGAGGGCGTGGATGTGAAGTTGATAAAGAGATGGCTCACCCGTACAAGCACACTCATTCACACCCACACCCATACCCAGACAAGAGTAGATATACGAACGTCTGTGATGCTTTTCCAGTACGAACATAGATATCCGCAAACACACGCAAATAGACCAATGGGATCCGATGGGATCCGACTGTTGGATTCTTTGATCTGGGTTTACTAATTTATTTGTTGTCATACTCCGTAATACTTTACTGTTTTATCAAAACTGGACATGAAAGTATTATTTTTCCTTTAATTTTAAATATTTTCCCGTATTATTGATAATTATTGATGCATTACAAATGTAATCAATTTCAACAATAAATGTTTGTAATTGACAAAGACGTCCATCAAGTAAACAAAGACAATCGTTTAAATTGCGCACTCCAACATTCAAATGAATAAGATTTGATGGATAACATGTTGGAGATAGAAAATCAATAAATGATGTTGGTGGATAGTGGCAAATGTCCTTTAAACCAACATGAAAATAAGTTAAATTTGTAAACATTGTAAAAATAGTGATGAAAACATTTGTGGATAATTTGCTTATATATTGATCTGTGTTGTCATCATTAATTGTAACAATAAGATGTAAAATCTGATGTTTAAAGATGTGAATAAATGATGACTTCCCTAATATATATATATATATACAATAAATTTATGAATCGACTTAGTTTACTTTATCTTGAAGAATAAGTGAAAAGGTGACATACCATTGAAAATACGAGATCCCATTTCAAGTTGAAGATTAACAAGAATAAGTTTATGAAGTTTAGGATTATTTCCAATGTAAAGAACATGATCAATTGACAATGGATTAAGAGTAAGACATTCAATATTGTATTGAATTCGAGGTATTATATCAAAACAAAATCTATCGAGTATTAACTTGTTTCTTGTGTCATTATATTCGTTTGATGAAATTGTTACTAAATCAACAGATTGTGTAAAAGTAATGTTCCGTACCAATCTATCGAGTTTTCGATTGACTCCTCTGAATGAATATAATACATCAGTATTATTGAGTTTGTTCAAAATAGCCAGCAACATCTCATCAGATAGATCAAGAATACTAACGGTTGAATAATTGATGTTTGATTCTGTAATAATGCACCACGATAATATCTATCTATCTATATATATGCATATTTATTTAATTTTTATCATGTCCGACATTGTCAGCAACGACAATGTTAAATGATCAATGGTGGAAATGTTGACCCTTTAATGACAGTCAAATTTCTTCACAGAGAGTAATATTCGAGTTTATCCGCAAGAATAGAAAAAAATGAGCGTCAGTAATATGATGATTTTTTTCTTTCTTCCCTTCTTAAATATAACGAAATATATCATTTCGCGATGTTCGAAGCCGCTTTGGCCCATCACCACTCATAAATGAATCATGACGTTTTGTCAATCATTAAATTACCAATAAAAACTAAGTTAATTCATCATACGATAGTATTTAGAAGTATACGATCTGAATTGACTTCTCATTTCATTGAATTGTCTCCGTTTTAAAGGGTGTGGGAGTGGGTGGGCGTGAATGTCGGTGTGTGGTTGTATGAGTATGAATGTTTGAAAAGAGATACCCGCCCGCACCCACATCCACACTCACACCCACATCCACATCTACATCCACATCCACACCCACACCCTGAAATTTTCAGAGCATTCTAATCACCAGCAGACCTCTCTGTGAGCAAAATCTTAGGTTAAAATACCGTTGTTCGATGTCATTGTATATACTATGCCTGAGGCTAAAATTCTAGTCAAATGCCTATAACTCTGGATAGAAGGCCTATGGGCACTTATCCTTTTAAGATTTTTCATATCTCACTGGGGCCTACTTTATGCACAGAGTCTGAATCCAAAAACGATGTTACAGTTCGGAAGGTTCCCTCGTCAGTACATAACAGTTAAACCGGGATCGTGGCTCATTGAATTGCTTACTTCTCGTTCTTCTTCTTCTTCGAGTGTTCGTTGTTTAACGTTGTGCAATAACGTGTTCTTACACAACATCATATACCAAACAATATTCTTGCACAACCTCAAACATCGAACAGTAGAAAAGGAAGAACGAGAACTGATATGTTGACGAGCCGCAATCGGAGGTCGACTCTTGTCATGAGCCTGAAGCATCACAACTCGATCTCTCTGTTCGTCGCAAGACGTTTCAGGGGGATTACGGCCTTCGATTAAATCGACACTCGTCATATTCTATTTTTATTACAAAAAAAAATATTGAATTTGATCTTTTTGTAACCTCCAACGGATTTTTACACAGGAAATAACTAAAACATGAATATTGATGCAGCGATATCTTCAGAACCATAAGGCGTAGAAATCTGAAATTATCTGTGTAATCTTATCTAAGCTAGATAGAACTGTGGACGGAGTTCCATATCGAAACAATGCGATTTTTTTCATTGTTATAGACCTCCGTGGGATGTCAGCAGTGATGGGTGTGGATGTGGGGATCACTTTATCACACTCACACCCATACTCTCATGGACGCTCTCTTAAATCGATGGTCTCAATGATGACAATTCAATAATCCACCATATTTTTCGTCAAAATATTCATTGCTACACTTAAATTCGCAGATGAAAAACGTGAATGAATGTCTATCGACCTTTCTAAATCGATGAAACTATATCGAATGAAACTGCTTAGCAATTTAAGCTAAATAATTTGACGATGTAAATAATGACATGATTCTTGCCATGGAAGAATTCACAACTTGAGGGTGTAGGTGTCGAGAATCTCTACACTTATACCAACACCACCCACAGCCACCTCATATAGCCACACCCTCGATCAACTCGGATGCTTTCTTCTCGAAATATTAAATTTTCAAAGATATTCCTTCAAACTAGATAAGTCACAAAAATGAAGTCCACATGCATCTTAATGAAATAAATATTTTTTCTTATTATATCTTCAACAGTTTCATTGTCTGCCATTCTGTGATTGATTTACATCTGATAAAAAGACAATTAGAAATAATTTCATTTGTGTTAAATCATTTGACACATTGTTCTCTCTCAAGAATATTCAGACGCTATCAGGAGAAACGATTGATATTGTTTTCATAGTTGATGCCACAAGAAACACTCACACTCACACTCACATCCCAAGATATACAGGTTCTTCTGATGATATCGGTAAAGTAGCCACATTGAATTGTTCAGCGGGAAATATAAAATTCGTACTAAACGGATCATCGATCGAACACGGCTTGATAGTCATATCGATTACATGTTTGGGCGGAGTCCTTTCATCGGCACAATAATCTACCTGACCGATATTCACCCAATTACCGAGTATTCCAGTACTAGAAAATATTCGTATATTTGTATCCCATTGACGGAAAACAACAATCAAACAATAATATTGTATAGTAAATTCCATTTGGTTTAAACATTCCACCTCCATCATACTATGGGATGTGGGTATGAGACGTGAGTCTAGTATAAATTAACACCCACACTCGCACCTTTCTCATTGACCTTGTTCAATTATGCAGTTTCTTTCGAATCTCTAGCTTGTTTTTCTTGTTTTGTTCAATCAAAAGGATAATGGACAATATCTTCTGTTGATTATAATTTTCTCTAGTGACATACAAAATAGAGCAAAGCGGAAATCATCTATATTTAGATCAAATACTATTTAGAATATAGTTGAAATTACAAAACACTTTTGTCTTTAAATTCATGAAACAAAAGAAAAAGATATATCCAAAAAGGAAAAACAATATTAATAAATAATAATAAAATTAACGAATTTTATTTCAATTATTCAATAATCAATGCATATAGATGTTCATCAATATCTTGTCCATTTTTATGTGTACGTTTACGTAATACTCCTTCGAATACGAAACCACATTTTTCTGCAACTCGCATCGATGCCTTATTCCATGGAAATATTTTTGCTTCAATCCGAACTAAATTTTTCCATTCATTTTTTATTATTTCAATTATTTTTTTTACAATTTTAGGCATTAAACCACGGTGCCAATATGGTTCACCTAACCAATATCCAATTTCTGTTCGCCGTTCATTTTTAACTGAACGACGAAAACCACATCCACCAATCAATTCATTATTTTTCTGTAAACGAATAGAAAAAATACGTGTTAAACTTAATGAGTTTAATTTTATTTTTTGAATAAAATCTTCACCATCCTTTGTTGTATATGGATATGGTTTTGTTAGTAAATTAGCTTGTAATGTTGGGTTGTTAAAATATTTAACAAATGAAGGAATATCTTCATTTGTTACTAAGTCATTTATATATATTTCATCATCAATATCATAACGATTTGATATCATTATATTCTGAAAAAAAAGAACAAAAAACAAAGAAAAACGTTTCTTTATTTGCTCGCTTACATCAAAATACAAAACGCGAGTTTATTTATATATGATACCGAAAGAAAGAGAACAATATGATAAAGTATTAGGCAACTCATTTTTACGTATTTTTTCAACTTTTCTGTCATCAGTTGAATATGATAACAGTTTTAAAGCAAATTCAATTGCTGTTGTTAGTCCTTGACTCGTTATTAAATGATGACTATTAATTTTACTATAGACAACAAATGCATCGAGTTAAATTGATTTAAATTTATTGTCATCTGAATTAGTTGTTTCAGGATCACATGTTGTATTATGAGTTTGTTTTGTGGTGATCAAAAAAAAACTAGCACCTGTTTTTTTTTACATGAGACTATCTTTTCTGTACCTTTATCGGGCACATAATAAAAATCAAAGCCTAGTATTTTATTATACTTGGGTTATATAGATCATACCTATCTTCAGACACAATAACAGCATCAAAATGTTGTCCTTAAACATTTTCTGTGCAAGCTAGGTACTATTTGAATATTATTAGCATATGTTATTGGTTTTTGTCGTTTTTTTTCAATACTATAGAATTTTATGTCAATCCAACCTCGTCGTAATACATAGGCAGTAGCCACCTCTTCAATGTCTTCTGAGCCATTAGACTGTACCAAGAAAAGATGTTTATCTATGACATTCATAGGCTCCTGTTTGATGAAAGTGTAGTTCTTGTAAACGATAAGACATGTAAAACCTAATTTTATATTAAATGAAAGCTTGTAAAATTAATCACGTCTCGTAAAGACCAACAATTGCTTGAATCGATGAATGTTGTTCGTAAATGAATACCAACTTTTGAACTAAGTTAGAATTTTCATTTTACTCTGCAAGAGAAAAATGTGATTTTATTCCACTTTGAAATGGTTGTATATCTTTTTTCTTTCAGTTCTCTTCTCCGAACAATGCTGCAAACATAATCTTTCATTGAATGATGGTTCTAAATGACAAGTATATTAACATCTGGCAGATTTGATTCAACATTTTTCTGTAGATATCAAGAAGGGTGTGCGTGTGAGTATGGATGTTCTCTTTCTCCATACCCACACCCACACCCACCCTATTATACGTGCAAAATATTGATATTTGGTCTCTAGGAGGATTATCACAATAAATCTTGGCTACATGTTCATCTGTAGATGTAGATAGAAATGTTGTTGTTATTATTATAGCGTCTTTCTTGTAGTTGGATACGAGTTTCTCCTCAAGAACTATGCCACGATAGACTGTTTTCTTTCGAACTAGAAATTCATCTAATTTTGGATGAAATAGAATATTGGTAATTGCTTCTGTGTACTCTTGTGTTTGAGCCAGAACTGGGCAGTTCACGAGAGTACAGTAACGTTTTAGTAAATGATTTGTATTTGC